TCACAAGAAACGACTGAGAGGTATGCGAGGAGCTCAACACGAGATTTAAAGAAGTATTTACAGTGGAAAACAGTAGGACTCCAGGAAATCAGAACAGGGGGGTACACCAACAAGTGCTGCATGAGGTACACATAACCAAGAAGGAGGTGAAGAAGCTGCTATGTGAACTTGACACCTCAAAGGCGGTAGGACCAGACAAGTCTCCGTGGGTCCTTAGAGAGGGAGCAGAGATGCTGTGTGTGCCATTAACAAAAACCTTCAACACATCCATTGAAACTGGGCAACTCCCTGAGGTATGGAAGATGGCAAATGTAGTCCCAATTTTTAAAAAGGGAGACAGACATCAGGCACTAAACTACAGATCTGTATCAATAACGTGTATAGTATGCAAAGTCATGGAGAAGATCATCAGGAGGAGAGTGGTGGAGCACCTGGAAAGAAACAAGTGTATAATTGACAACCAGCACGGTTTCAGGGAAGGAAAATCCTGTGTCACAAACCTACTGGAGTTTTATGACAAGGTGACAGAAGTAAGACAAGAGAGGGGTGGATCGACTGCATTTTTTTGGACTGCAAGGCCTTCGACACAGTTCCTCACAAGAGGTTACTGCAAAAGCTAGAGGATCAGCCACACATAACAGGAAAGGCACTGCAATGGATCAGAGAATACCTGGCAGGGAGGCAACGAGTCATGGTACGTGACGAGGTGTCACAGTGGGTGCCTGTGGCAAGTGGGGTTCCACAGGGGTCGGTCCTAGGACCTGTGCTCTTCTTGGTATATGTGAATGACATAACGGAAGGGATAGACTCAGAAGTGTCCTTGTTTGCAGATGATGTGAAGTTAATGAGAAGAATCAAATCGGATGCGGATCAGGAAGGACTACAAAGAGACCTGGACAGGCTACAAGCCTGGTCCAGCAACTGGCTCCTTGAGTTTAACCCTGCCAAATGCAAAGTCATGAAGATTGGGGAAGGGCAAAGAAGACCGCAGACACAATATAGTCTAGATGGCCAAAGACTGCACTCACTCAAGGAAAAAGATCTGGGAGCGAGTATAACACCGAGCATATCTCCTGAGGCGCACATCAGTCAGATAACTGCTGCAGCATACGGGCGTCTGGGAAACCTACGGATAGCGTTCCGATACCTCAGTAAGGAATCGTTCAAGACTCTGTATACCATGTACGTCAGGCCCATACTGGAGTATGCAGCACCAGTTTGGAATCCACACCTGGTCAAGCACGTCAAGAAATTAGAAAAAGTGCAAAGGTTTGCAACAAGACTAGTCCCAGAGCTAAGGGGATTGTCCTACGAAGAAAGGTTGAGGGAAATCAGCCTGACGACACTGGAGGACAGGAGGGTCAGGGGAGACATTATAGCAACATATAAAATACTGCACGGAATAGACAAGGTGGACAAAGACGGGATGTTCCAGAGATGGGACACAGACACAAGAGGTCACAATTGGAAGTTGAAGACTCAGATGAGTCGAAGGGATGTTAGGAAGTATTTCTCCAGTCACAGAGTAGTCAGGCCGTGGAATAGCCTAGAAAGTAACGTAGTGGAGGCGGGAACCATACATAGTTTTAAGGCGAGGTATGATAAAGCTCATGGAGCAGGGAGAGCACCTAGTAGCAGTCAGTGAAGAGGCGGGGCCAGGACCTATGACTCGACCCCTGCAACCACAAATAGGTTAGTACAAATAGGCGAGTACCCAGGATGTGACCCACACCAGTCCACTAACACCCAGGTTCCCATTATTACTGATGGGTGGACAGGGACAAGAGATGTAAGGAAACACGCCCAGTGTTTCCACCCCTTTACCAGGAATCGAACCCGGACGCTCACCGTGTGAAGCGAGAGCTTTAGCCACCAGGCCACGAGCCACGTTAGTGTAGGTCAGGATAGTGTGGGTCTGAGAGAGTGGGGGTCTGAGAGTGTGTGGGTCTGAGAGAGTGGGGGTCTGAGTGTGGGTCTGAGAGTGTGTGGGTCTGAGAGTGTGTGGGTCTGAGAGTGTGTGGGTCTGAGAGAGTGTGGGTCTGAGAGTGTGTGGGTCTAAGAGTGTGTGGGTCTGAGAGTGTGTGGGTCTGAGAGTGTGTGGGTCTGAGAGTGTGTGGGTCTGAGAGTGTGTGGGGTCTAAGTGTGTGGGGGTCTGAGAATGTGTGGGTCTGAGAGAGTGTGGGTCTGAGAGTGTGGGTCTGAGAGAGTGTGGGTCTGAGTGTGTGTGGGTCTGAGTGGGGGTCTGAGAGTGTGTGGGTCTGAGAGTGTGTGGGTCTGAGTGTGTATGGGTCTGAGAGAGTGTGGGTCAGAGTGTGTGTGGGTCTGAGAGAGTGGGGCCTGATGTGGGTCTGAGTGTGTGTGGGTCTGAGAGAGTGGGGTCTGAGAATGTGTGGGTCTGAGAGAGTGTGGGTCTGAGAGTGTGTGGGTCTGAGTGTGGGTGAGTGTGGGTCTGAGAGTGTGTGGGTCTGAGTGTGTATGGGTCTGAGAGAGTGTGGGTCAGAGTGTGTGTGGGTCTGAGAGAGTGGGGGCCTGAGTGTGGGTCTGAGTGTGTGTGGGTCTGAGAGAGTGGGGGTCTGAGAATGTGTGGGTCTGAGAGAGTGTGGGTCTGAGAGTGTGTGGGTCTGAGTGTGGGTGAGTGTGGGTCTGAGAGTGTGTGGGTCTGAGTGTGGGTCTGAGTGTGGGTGTGAGAGTGTAGTCCAAGGGTACCAACAGAGAACAGAGGTGCACTACGGTGTTGACTGCCGCTACTCATACCTATTACCAACAAAATAATTCTAAATTATTTACAGTGACGAAACATGCTAAGTTCTGTGACGCTACTTAGCCTATTTTTGTACGCAACTGCAGCTCTTCTGATAAACTAATATTTTCCAATGTTAACTCAAATTCTGAATATTGCTAACTTATACATCTTACAACAGTGCTCACTTATACACCATCTTACAACAGTACTCACTTATACACCATCTTACAACAGTGCTCACTTATACAACATCTTACAACAGTGCTCACTTATACAACATCTTACAACAGTGCTCACTTATACAACATCTTACAACAGTGCTCACTTATACACCATCTTACAACAGTGCTCACTTATACACCATCTTACAACAGTGCTCACTTATACACCATCTTACAACAGTGCCCACTTATACAACATCTTACAACAGTGCTCACTTATACACCATCTTACAACAGTGCTCACTTATACAACATCTTTCAACAGTGCTCACTTATACAACATCTTACAACAGTGCCCACTTATACATCTTACAACAGTGCTCACTTATACAACATCTTACAACAGTGCTCACTTATACAACATCTTACAACAGTGTCCACTTATACATCTTACAACAGTGCTCACTTATACATCTTACAACAGTGCTCACTTATACACCATCTTACAACAGTGCTCACTTATACACCATCTTACAACAGTGCTCACTTATACAACATCTTACAACAGTGTCCACTTATACATCTTACAACAGTGCTCACTTATACAACATCTTACAACAGTGCTCACTTATACAACATCTTACAACAGTGTCCACTTATACATCTTACAACAGTGCTCACTTATACAACATCTTACAACAGTGCTCACTTATACAACATCTTACAACAGTGTCCACTTATACATCTTACAACAGTGCTCACTTATACATCTTACAACAGTGCTCACTTATACACCATCTTACAACAGTGCTCACTTATACACATCTTACAACAGTGCTCCACTTATACATCTTACAACAGTGCTCACTTATACATCTTACAACAGTGCTCACTTATACATCTTACAACAGTGCTCACTTATACAACATCTTACAACAGTGCTCACTTATACATCTTACAACAGTGCTCACTTATACAACATCTTACAACAGTGCTCACTTATACAACATCTTACAACAGTGCTCACTTATACATCTTACAACAGTGCCACTTATACACATCTTACACAGTGCTCACTTATACAACATCTTACAACAGTGCTCACTTATACATCTTACAACAGTGCTCACTTATACAACATCTTACAACAGTGCTCACTTATACATCTTACAACAGTGCTCACTTATACAACATCTTACAACAGTGCTCACTTATACATCTTACAACAGTGCTCACTTATACAACATCTTACAACAGTGCTCACTTATACACCATCTTACAACAGTGCTCACTTATACAACATCTTACAACAGTGCTCACTTATACAACATCTTACAACAGTGCTCACTTATACAACATCTTACAACAGTGCTCACTTATACATCTTACAACAGTGCTCACTTATACAACATCTTACAACAGTGCTCACTTATACAACATCTTACAACAGTGCTCACTTATACAACATCTTACAACAGTGCTCACTTATACAACATCTTACAACAGTGTCCACTTATACATCTTACAACAGTGCTCACTTATACATCTTACAACAGTGCTCACTTATACAACATCTTACAACAGTGCTCACTTATACAACATCTGACAACAGTGCTCACTTATACAACATCTTACAACAGTGCTCACTTATACAACATCTTACAACAGTGCTCACTTATACAACATCTTACAACAGCGCTCACTTATACAACATCTGACAACAGTGCTCACTTATACACCATCTGACAACAGTGCTCACTTATACAACATCTGACAACAGTGCTCACTTATACACCATCTGACAACAGTGCTCACTTATACACCATCTGACAACAGTGCTCACTCATACATCTTACAAGAGTGCTCACTCGGAGTTCTCAATCTTCGTTGGTTTATTAATATGTTTAATACCATCAACCTGGGGTTGACAACGAGGTTGTCAACCCCAGGTTGGTGAATTAGCAGACCTTAGAACATGAAAGCAGATTAGCATATTAACAGATATACTTGGCCAGGCCAGACAACTACCATTCACACCCGTTCATTCCGATGTATCTATTGGCAGCGAGTGAGAAAATATGCTTGGCTACTTCCAGGAGACATAGGTGGTCCGGAGGGGTGTGGGATGCTGTGTCTCTATACCTTGAAGAATCCCGCCACACCTGAGAGAGTCTTCCACACACCCTGCGGGGTGCTCTCCCTCAACTTCCACCCCAAGGTTAGTGCTCGCATACTAGGGCAGAGAATCAGTGTGTGTCAGCGTGTTCTCCCTTCACGTCCACAGGTAACGCCATACTCTGTCTCAGCTACAGCAAGATAATTACACACAGTTTGTGTTCCACAACAGAAAAGCTCCATGCATACACTGTGTCATAAACGGTTACACATGTATTACGTTATTTACAAAAGGGTATCTGCGCGCGAGCGAGCGCGCACATACATACACACACAGTCACAGTAGTCAGGAAGTGGAATAGTTTGGGAAGCGATATAGTGGAGGCAGGATCCATACATTGCTTTAAGAATGGTATGATAAAGTTCATGGAGCAGGAAGAGTGACTCAGTAGCGGCCAGTGAAGAGGCAGGGGCCAGGAGCTGTGAATCGACCCCAGCAACCACAACTAGGCTAGTACAACTATACGAGTACATGTGTCATCCACGGAACAGTAGCTCCACACAAATTATCATGACCAGCAAGACAACTCCTCGCACTACCTCAATAACAACGTAATGCCACAGAAGCCATACTATAATCCACAAAATAACATCACACACACTGTCATAAGAGCAACGTTACTCTTCTTACTTTGTAGTCCACGGGGAGACTTTACACCCTTTGGCATAGTTTAAAAAGACACGCAAACAATCACTAGGACATATAAGAAAAAGTCTGAGTCCTGGGACCTTTATCACTGGAATAAACCTTGGTAATAAATACCGACAAGTTGGTTTAGAAAGACACGTAAGCAAACACTATAACATATTTATTAGAAAACGTTTCGGTCCTGGGACCTTGATCACTTGATCAAGGTCCCAGGACCGAAACGTTTTCTAATAAATATGTTATAGTGTTTTCTTACGTGTCTTTCTAAGCCACCTTTATCACTAACATACAGAGGATAAAAAGAGTATATATATAGTCTAAGAGTGAGGTGTGGGTGACACAGTGACCTGAAAAAAATATGTCAGACGGATGAGGACGGTAGAGATGAGTATCACGCATGTCAATGATTTAGAAATTTTGCAATTTCCAGTATCATGTTCTGGAAACCACAAAATTTCTAAAATAATAGCATAGATGGTACTCAAGTCAGGTAAAGCGCCACCTACCTAACAACACAGGAGTCACGAGATTACATTGTCTACCCGCCCTTATCCCTATACGATATTTTTTCAGGTCATTGTGTTACTCACACCTCACACCTATATAATAATGGTGGACATTAAAATCGCCAAATAACAGAAGTGGTTGAGGTAAGGAAGAAACCAGAAATGCAACATCTGGGATAGATAATGGCCGAGAAGGAGAGAGATACAAAGAACAGATTGTATACCATTTATTCAAATGGATGCTGTAGTGTAATGCAGCGAAGTATGAACAAAGAGCTGATGGTATGCAATACCGGTGCATATAAGAAGTGCACTTTCATTAAAAGGTTCCATCGGGAAAAGGATCTGATGAATATAAATCATAGCTTGAGATGGGACAGATAACAGTGGAACGTAATTTGGGTTCTTGTAAACAAACACAAACAGGGAAAAACTGGGAGAGCAACACCTGAAGTACACCCCGGTTACCTCTAAGGCCGCGGATATTCCACTGTAAATAAGCCATGATATGCAAGAGAAAGATACAAGAAATCTGAAGGTAGCGGTATCTGGGGAGTTCGAGGGTTAGAAAAATCTACATGTGGAGGCAGAGGAAAACGTACATGCAGCGAAGGACTGGGACACTGTGAAGAAAGGAGTTGTGCAGATTGAGAAGAGTGAAGAGGAGGAACAGAAGGTGGATCGGTGTCCAGCAATGGTCTAGTCTCCTCAGTATATTCAGAGATATCTTCAAGTGTTTCAGAGGACAAGGACGTTGTATGTGGGACGATACTGTAGATGGGAGGAGGAGGGTGAGTAAAGATCAGGGCAACGATGGAATGTACCAAAGTAGGGGGGGGACGAAAGGGTAGAGGGAACTGGAGAAGAAGCGTGGGAGGGGACAGGGAAGGAAGGTACTGTACGAGGAGGATGAAACTCCACACTCGTAACAGAGCCAGTTAGAGGTGAAGAACCAGGTACAGAGACTGGAAAGGAAAAATGTGCAGGTAGAAGATGGGAAGGAGGGGGTAAAGATTTTAACAATGGTAATGTTTTGAACTTCGGAGGAGAGGGGCGACAGGGAGTTGTTGTACAAGGTCTTGTAGACATAGGAACTTGTGAGTGAGAACAGGAAGAGGTGAGAACAGAATGAGGTGACGAGGTAGGGATTAGAATTAGAGACAGAGGCGACTGTGGAAGGGGTAATCACAGAGGAGGCTGCAGAAGTTGGGACCCCAGAGATGGGGGGTCGTTTAGCAACTCGAGAATAAGAAATACTGGGAAGTCTCCCCTGGAGGCATAGATGAGAGAGTGCCATAGCATAAGGAAATCCTTCTGCCTCTTTGCGATAACGGATTTCTCACTCATTTAAGTAAACTTGGCAACGGCGAGAGTAAGATGGGCGAGCCTCATGAAAATTAAGGCAAGAGGGAGGTAGACTACAAGACGTATTGGTACGGTCGTCGGCACCACAGACTGAGCATTCGGCCATTGACCTGCAATATTTCGCTGGATGATCAAAACACCAGCAGTTTCAACACTGTTGCAGTGTAGGGATCACCTTTGAACTTGTAAACGATGTCCCACAGTATAAACCGAGAACGGAAGCTCAGGGCAGTCAAAAGTTAAGTGAGAGCTACAGCGCAAGGGTATCGTCTCTCCCTGCGTGCCAGGAGGACGTAAGTGTCAACTTTGAGGATTGGGAGGTCTTGGAGTTCAAGCTGTTCCAGAATGTCACCGCCACATGTAGAATGATGTAGAATGACAGTACCACTACAAGAATTGGGAGAATGATGTCATTTAATAGTCACAGGAATAGCATCTATGGTTGTAAGGAGAGAAAGATCGCGAGCTTGACTAGCATTCTGTACTGTGACGATGCATGCACTGCTCTTGACAGCATGAAAGGATATATCTCGAGTCTCGACCAACATGGCGTAGGAGCACCTTGCTAATACTATGATCGGAAAGATAGTCAGTAGTAGTAGTAGGTAGCAGAGCAAAAAATTTAGTCCACTGTGTGGGTTGAAACATAGGGTGTAAGGGGAGGGAGTGTCGTGCCAGTCTTTTCTGGGCAGAATGAGAAGGAAGCAAAGAAGTATCATCAGGTAATGGTCCGAAAATCGCCGCACCATAGAGGGAGATGCCGGAAGCATGGTCAAAGAAGTGCAGAGGTCAGATGTATCAGAGGAGCATAGGGGATGGGATAGGGGAGGGATGGGGAGAGGAGGAAAGGGATAAGGGAGGATGAGGAGGATGGGATAGGGAAGGGGAGATTGGGGGGTAACTAGGCTCGGTCTGAGGAAGGAGACCAAAAGATCTAATTCCTCAGACCAAGAGCCTCTTCACCGCTCCAAGGATCTCCCCTTTAAGAGGAATATAATGCAGAGAATCCGCAGTTTAGAAATTAGGAGGTGCGGGATTACCAAAACTATTATCCAGAGGGCTGAGGAGGTGTTGTTGAGGTGATTCGGACATGTAGAGAGGAAAGGAAATAGAATGACTTCGAGAGTGTATAAATCTGTAGTCGAGGGAAGGCGGGGTAGGGGTCGGCCTAGGAAAGGTTGGAGGGGCGGGGTAAAAGAGGTTTTGTGAGGGGCTTGGACTTCCAGCAAGCATGTGTGAGCGTGTTAGATAGGAGTGAATGGAGGCAAATGGTTTTTAATACTTGACGTGCTGTTGAGTGTGAAGGGATTCAAGGAAGGGATTCAAGGAAACCGGCAGGCCGGACTTGAGTCCTGGAGTTAGGAATTACAGTGCCTGCACACTGAAGGAGGGGTGTTAATATTTCAGTTTTATAGCTGTAGTGTAAACACGCCTCTGGCAAGACATTGATGACGTAAATGATGGTGAAAGTTTTTCTTTTTCGGGCCACCCTGCCTTGGAGGGAGACGGCCGATGTATTAATAAAAAAAGTATTTTCGTCTTTTATATATCAAGATTTATTTCGAGCTTCATTCCAGTGTGTTAGCACCTCACTGTGACTTAGTGGTAGTAAGGTGTATGCTTAAAAACAAGGGCAACACAGTCCCTTGTGTCAAATGTTACACACAAGAGATGTGCAAAGTGAAGTGTTCTTTGATGTATTCACAGCCCCTGAAGTCACCTGTGAATCTTAAAGCTGACTTTCTCTAGAGAGATTTATATATACTTCCAGGTATGCAGAAAATGTCTTTCACAATCACATTTATCGCCTTCTTAACAGAATTAACTTTTTATTTGTCTTCCACTACAGTTATTGGAAGTTTCTTTCGTCCCATTTAGTTACGTCTTTTCTCATGTTTTGTAAAGAGGCTGTATGAGCCAAAACCCTGCGAGAGCAGGTTTTTCTTCTTTTATAACCCCTTGCTAGTAGTATATTGCTGTGTTGGGAAGACACCTTGGTGTGTGGCTCACTGTATATATATATATATATATATATATATATATATATATATATATATATATATATATATATATATATATATATATACACACACACACCAGATAGCCTTCTATAGTTCCTGCCAATGGGCCTGGCACCTGGCCTGCCTCCTAATTCTCATATGTACAAGGTATACAGGCCTAGCTGACATCAGTGACATACTGCTATATAGAAAGTCCCTTGTTATGCAGAACATTTAGGGCAAATTAGGTCAGTTTTGTCCCAGGATGCGACCCATACCAGTCCACTAACACCCAGGTACCCATTTTACTGATGGTGAATATAGACAACCGATGTAAAGGAACACGCCCAATGTTTCTACCCTCGCCGGGAATCGAACCCGGACACCTCGCCGTGTGATGACTTCGTACATTTCATTGGTGAACATTCACCCAGCATAACACGAAATGACCTCCAGGTCTACTCTTCAACCCTGCTCATCTATTTTAGGTAAATAAGCTAGTAGTTGGCAATACACACATGAAAACTGCGGGTACCACTGTAATGTATTACAAAGGAACATACAACCATGGGAGTATGACGCCACCGGACAATTGTAATGTATAACATAGCAACTTATCCAAAACAAGGGCGGTATTGTTGAGAGATACTACCACGCTGCGGATAGTAAACTATTATACACTGTTAGACATGACAATGGTACAGTCACTTCAGTCACCAGCCAGTAGACTCTGAGTATGCTTGAGGGTAGGAGTGATATGCCGTGTATAACACAGTAACATACTGTCTATAGCATGGTATTCAAGAGACCAGTGCTGGAGTGGAGGTAGTGGTGGCTCGTGGTCTGGTAGCAAAAAATCTCGGTTCACACAGTGAGTGTCCGGGTTCGATTCCCGGCGAGGGTAGAAACATTGGGCGTGTTTCCTTACACCGGTTGTCTATGTTCACCCCATCAGTAAAGTGGGTACCTGGGTGTTAGTGGACTGGTGTGGGTCGCATCCTGGGACAAAACTGATCTAATTTGCGGGAAATGTTCTGCATAACAAGTGGCTTTATATATAGTAGTATGTCAATGATGTCTGCTATGGTCTGTACATGTTTGTACATGTCAGCTATGGTCTGCACATGCTTGTACATGTAGCTATGGTCTGTACATGTTTGTACATGTAGCTATGGTCTGTACATGTTTGTACATGTCAGCTATGGTCTGTACATGTTTGTACATGTCAGCTATGGTCTGTACATGGTTTGTACATGTACTTGTAGAAATGATGATATAAGAGTTTAAGAGTAAGTTACCACCCACAGCATGGTAGTCTGGTGGCCGCTGGATGGAGTGACGGTACCGTGGTAATGTATGACGTCCGGTCATCTACCTGTCCAGTGATCATACCATCCAGCACCACGGCCGGCAAACACTTCCTTCCAGTGGTACAGGTGAGGTCATATTAACACTGTTAATTCTTCACGAAAGACACTTCATCTCTTTTCACTCACTGGATCAACAGGTTCACCCCTTTACCATAATAATTAATAATTAATAAATGCATTATACAAATGATGTTTAATGTAACATTGTATATCTAACATTGTCCTTCTAACAATATACACCATTGTACATCTCACATTGCACAACTAATGTTGTACCACTTACATTGTACTTTTCAATGCATCCCTATCAAAGTAGGTATAACATTCTACATCTAACATTACCTGGAGGTTACCTGGAGGTTATTCCGGGGATCAACGCCCCCGCGGCCCGGTCCATGACCAGGCCTCCCGATGGATCAGGGCCTGATCAACTAGGCTGTTACTGCTGGCCGCACGCAGTCCAACGTACGAGCCACAGCCCGGCTGATCCGGCACTGACTTTAGGTATCTGTCCAGCTCTCTCTTGAAGGCAGCCAGGGGTTTATTGGCAATTCCCCTAATGCTTGATGGGAGGCTGTTGAACAGTTTTGGTCCCCGGACACTTATGGTGTTTTCTCTTAGTGTACCAATGGCGCCCCTACTTTTTATTGGGGGCATTTTGCATCGCCTGCGCCAGGGAGTGATTTCTGTGTGCAGATTTGGGACCATTCCTTCCAAGATTTTCCAAGTGTAGATAATATATATCTCTCCCTCCTGCGTTCCAACGAGTACAAGTCAAGTGCTTCAAAGCGTTCCCAGTAGTTAAGGTGCTTGACAGAACTTATACGTGCAGTAAAGGATCTCTGTACACTCTCTAGATCTGCGATTTCACCTGCTTTGAATGGAGATGTTAATGTACAGCAGTATTCCAGCCTAGAGAGAACAAGTGATTTGAAAAGGATCATCATGGGCTTGGCATCTCTCGTTTTGAAAGTTCTCATTATCCATCCTATCATTTTCTTTGCACGTGCGATCGTGGCACTGTTGTGATCCTTGAAAGTGAGATCCTCAGACATTACTACTCCCAGGTCCCTTACATTATTTTTCCGCTCTATTGTATGGCCGGAGTCAGTAGTATACTCTGTTCTAGTTATTATCTCCTCCAGTTTTCCATAACGGAGTAGTTGGAATTTGTCCTCATTGAACATCATATTGTTTACCGTTGCCCACTGGAAAACTTTGTTTATATCTTCTTGGAGGTTAACCGCGTCCTCAGCAGATGACAGCCTCATGCAGATCCTAGTATCATCCGCAAAGGATGATACGGTGCTGTGGTGTATATCTCTGTTTATGTCTGATATGAGGATAAGGAATAAGATGGGGGCGAGTACTGTGCCTTGTGGAACAGAGCTCTTCACTATGGCAGCCTCCGATATAACTCTGTTGACCACTACTCTTTGTGTTCGATTTGTTAGGAAGTTGAAGATCCATCTCCCCACTTTCCCAGTTATTCCTTTAGCACGTATTTTATGGGCTATTACGCCATGATCGCATTTGTCAAATGCTTTTGCAAAGTCTGTGTATATTACATCTGCATTCTGCATTATATGTACAAGATTGTACACCTTTGTATACAAAACATTGTACACACCATACATATAATACATCTATCATTCTTCACTTAACATTGTATACTTTGGATACCTGATGTAATATACTTCACCTAATACACATTTAATACTATACACTTATCATTGTACATCTAGCAATATACACAAAACATTATATATACATTATGCTACTCATAATACTGTATACCGATGATATAAGAATTTTTCTCGTATATGTAAAAAGGACACTTATTAGACACGACAAAATATGTATTTACAAACACTAATCTCAGGTCGCTGGAGACTCGAACCTACTAATCTTGGAGCAAGATATGCAGTGGTCTACCACTGTACCACACTGGTCCATTACCTTGGCTCCCACTTCAAGCTAGACGCAGTGTGACTGTAAATGGTCCAAGTCGGACCGAAGAGTCGTCGTGGGCTCCTCTATGTGCGGGTTTTGTGTCGTTCAAGTCACGGTATTGTACCTTTTGTTATTTAACGCTAGACGTTTCGGTCCAGCCAGCATTCAGGCAGGCAGTGTTAAGCTTGAAGATTGAGACACTTATGCAGCATATGGGAATCTTTATTCAGGAAACGTTTCGCCACACAGTGGCTTCATCAGTCCAATACAAAGAGGAAGGCGTAAGGAGAGGAGGAGTATGAGGTAATCAGTCCCTCAGCCTGGAGTCGATGTGTTCAGTCCATCAATCTTGTAGAATGTACAGCATAGGTCCGTAGACGTGGCTTATATACTGTAGTGAGGTGAGGTGAAGCAGGCGGAGGCGGGGTCATAGTGGCAGCAAGATCCCATGCTGCAGTGTCTGACAGTTGTGATGAATGGTTTGAAAAACCGACAAGTTGAAGTATGATGGATGGTTTGAAAACCGACAAGTTGGGATCTTGTTACAAAGAATTCTTCAACACTTGTTCAACCTTTGGACGAAGACCTACTTCGATTAGTGGATGGTACCACTATGACCCCGCCTCCATCTGCTTCACCTCACCTCACTACAGTATATAAGCCACGTCTACGGCCCTATGCTGTACATTCTACAAGATTGATGGACTGAACACATCGACTCCAGGCTGAGGAACTGATTACCTCATACTCCTCCTCTCCTTACGCCTTCCTCTTTGTATTGGACTGATGAAGCCACTGTGTGGCGAAACGTTTCCTGAATAAAGATTCCCATATGCTGCATAAGTGTCTCAATCTTCAACTTGTCGGTTTTTCAAACCATTCATCACAGTATTAAGCTTGTCATCTCATCCCCTGCGTGCATCGACCGACCAGATATTTTTACATTGCTCGCAGAAAACACGAAATATTCACAAAACTAATCTCAGGCCGACAGAGACTTTATATACGTTTTACCGTATAGGTAAAACTGGTCAGTTAGCAAGATTATTATAATCAAAGAAAGCAATAAACCGACAAGGGTCATGCAGCACTGCAGGGCAGAAAATAGTGTTGGGGCTATAAACAACTAGGTGGAGAGGGGATCAGAGGTGAGGGCAGAAAAGGGCTACATACACAAATAACCCGCACATAGAAGAGAGGAGCTTACGACGACGTTTCGGTCCGATTTGGACCATTTACAAAGTCACACTAACCAGAAGTGGAGCAGGACGGCTATATATAGGCAGGAAGAGGTAGTGGTGGTAGTAGTAGTAGTGGCAGCAGCAGCAGCAGTAGTAGTAGTAGTAGTAGTAGTAGTCGTAGTAGTAGTAGTAGTAGTAGTAGTAGTAGTGGTGGTGGTGGTGGTGGTGGTGGTGGTGGTAGCAGTAGTAGTAGTAAATTAAGGAGGAGGAGCCAGTCAAATACAATGAAAGGACCTGCCTAGTATGGGCCAACAGGCCTACTGCAGTGTTCCTCCTTTCTTATGTTCTTATGTTCTTAATGAAAGGGGAGCACTGCAGGGGAGCTAGGTGCCCACAAGGGAGCTAGGTGCCCACAAGGGAGCTAGGTGCCCACAAGGGAGCTAGGTGCCCACAAGGGAGCTAGGTGCCCACAAGGGAGCTAGGTGCCCACAAGGGAGCTAGGTGCCCACAAGGGAGCTTGGTGCCCACAAGGGAGCTTGGTGCCCACAAGGGAGCTAGGTGCCCACAAGGGAGCTTGGTGCCCACAAGGGAGCTAGGTGCCCACAAGGGAGCTAGGTGCCCACAAGGGACCTAGGTGCCCACAAGGGAGCTAGGTGCCCACAAGGGAGCTAGGTGCCCACAAGGGAGCTTGGTGCCCACAAGGGAGCTTGGTGCCCACAAGGGAGCTAGGTGCCCACAAGGGAGCTAGGTGCCCACAAGGGAGCTAGGTGCCCACAAGGAGCTTTGGTGCCCACAAGGGAGCTTGGTGCCCACAAGGGAGCTATGTGCCCACAAGGGAGCTAGGTGCCCACAAGGGACCTAGGTGCCCACAAGGGAGCTAGGTGCCCACAAGGGAGCTAGGTGTCCACAAGGGAGCTTGGTGCCCACAAGGGAGCTTGGTGCCCACAAGGGAGCTAGGTGCCCACAAGGGAGCTAGGTGCCCACAAGGGAGCTAGGTGCCCACAAGGGAGCTAGGTGCCCACAAGGGAGCTAGGTGCCCACAAGGGAGCTAGGTGCCCACAAGGGACCTAGGTGCCCGCAAGGGAGCTAGGTGCCCGCAAGGGAGCTAGGTGCCCACAAGGGAGCTAGGTGCCCACAGAGGGAGAGCAAGTGCACAGAGGTGGGGGGAGGGGAAGTAATGAAATAAATAATGAAGGAACAGAAACGCAAGACAGAAGAAGGACAACCCAGAAAAGAAAAAGGGAAAGAGGAAAGGGGAAGAGGGAGAAGAAAAAATGAGAAATCAGGTTAAGTCACGGGTGTTCTGATGTTTGGAGCATTTTACAATGTGGTGGGAGAGGAAGGCATCTACAGAGACGAAGCCAGGACTAATATTCATACAAGGAAAGTTGTGTATTAGGGAGGATTCAACCAGACGGCGACTGTTAAAGTTGGAAGTAGGGAAGACAGTTTTAGCAGAAGACCAGTCAATAGGATGACTGTGATCTCTGACGTGACAGAAAAGAGCATTATTAGTGTCGGCAAGCTAAGGGCTGTGTGTCAAAGTTCGTATAGTAAAGCAGTGGCTGACAGTCAGAAAGTGACTGCAAGTTGAAGGTAGGGCCATCTGCAAGAAGGACAACAAGGCCAACAGATTACTTGGATTTATCTCAAGAAGTATAAGTAACAGAAGTCCAAAAGTTATTTTACAGCTCTATACATCACTAGTGAGGCCTCATTTAGATTATGCTGCTCAGTTTTGGTCCCCTTACTACAGGATGGACATAGACTCATTAGAGAACATACAGAGAAGAATGACTAAAATGATTTACTGTGTAAGGAACCTCCCGTCTTCTTGCCTTTGCTCCAGATTCTCCTCCACCACGAGGGACTGATTACCTCATCTTTTGTATATAGTTCTACTGTCTTCCTATTATGTCCTAGAATCTGTAT